GAACAAACATTGTTCTTGTGGTATTATATGATTTGTTTTACAAAAAAATCTAGTCTGTTCTAAAATACATGTTCTCTGCCATAACCTCTTTAAAAGTTCCTTCACAGCTGCACTATAGAAGTACAAGCCATTTACAGTAAATGTAGTGTAAATTTAGAGACAGAATTAGAATTAGTTAGAATCAGTCATTTATTGCAAATTGTCTCCAAAACTTTGGGTTAGCATACCTCAGCTCATTAGTGTCCTAAACACAGAGATTCATCAACTGTTATCACATAATTCATAATATTCATGCTGTGTATGAATTATGGTTTTTGGTTTGCCATTTTAGGTAAAAACTGAGCATTATTTAAAGAACACTGGCCCGTATTAGAAGGTTTTTCAAACACAGGGGAGGATTAGCTTCAGAAGAGATTTGGAGAATGATGGTTAGATGACCAAATGCAGTGTAATTTTAATCTTTTTGTGGGTGTGTTTTTGACATCGGTCAGGTCATACTGCTATCAGATAACTTATGAGCTATATCCAAGGATTTGGACACTCATCCACAAAAAAAAAAAATCTAATGAGCAGCAATTTAAAACAGTGCACGAAGACCTGCAGTGCAAACACAACCTAATGCTCTTTGAAGTGCAGGGTGACCATGAAAGGTATAGTCAGCTTTCTCCCCTGAGGAGGTGACAGAGTTTTACCGTACAGTATTTAGGGCAGACACAACTGTCCTCTTATGTCTTAGTGGGTCAAGGAGCATAAGTGGCCTGTAAAGCTAGCTAGAAAGTCCTGTGGGAATTCAAAAGGAAAAAATCCTATAGGCCATTTTTTCTTTATTTTTTAACTCGGCAACCCAGCATGTCAGTGGTGCTTATAAGCAGATGGTGCAGTGCAGTTCCACAGCCTCTCTTTAAAAACTGCTTCTCTCTCTGCACTCTGTGAAACTACACCAACTTGATTAAGACTTACTGTATGAAAGCTATTACAAATTAAATTGTGGCAAAACAGTGAAAGGTTAGATAGAACAACAGGGAGTCTTCCAAATAATTCTGTCTGGGAAAAGTGCAGTGCAACGCCGCATTCAGCGCTCCTCTGTACAGCTGTGACGCGTTATTAAAAGTGTAACCCGGGCCCAGGGGGTGGCGTGTAATTTTAGAATTAATATACAATTTAGAGCTTGGTGTTTGCAGCCTCTGAATTATTCAAATGTACTTCTGATATGGGCTTGGGTCTGGTGGGGGTAAGGCAGCTGCCATGCATACAAATTAACGTATTATGTCAGTATATGAACGAATGGGAGACAACATAGATTAGGTGAACATAAACATTGGTGCCAGGCAACAAAACAAGATGTTTGCTCTTGTGCAGAGTTCAAACCTGAAAGGCTGCACCATACTAATGGGAATAATGTAGGATGTTTGATTGTTATTTAAGACTGATATTACAGTCTGTCTGTAGGGAAAACCAGTACACCTTCATATGTCACCACAGAATATTGAATAAGAATAATAAGAAGAATAATAATAGGTTTATTCAACACATCAACAACATACCTCTGTCACCATAAACTAAATTTCACTGCTGTGATATGGATTGATTGTTCATTCATTAAATGTGTAATGTTGGCTAAAATACAGTTGTATATCAATATACCTCTAGGATGTTTATACATGTAAATGAAGGTGAAAGTTAAAAGCAAATACATTATATATTACAACAATGTCAAACTATCCACTGCGTTTAGAACTGGATTCAGTCAACGTAATCTGGTTGACAAATGTGAAACTGAAACACAGAACAGAACAAAAGTTGTTAAAAAAAGCTTTTGCTTAAAAGTTTATGCCAATAATGTCAACAAAGCACTTAAGGGATACTGAATTAGTTTTTTTTATTGGCAAGTAAAATAAATAATATTCCTGTTAAAACAAACAATACAGCAACAATGATAGAGGATCTAGTGCTGTGTAGTTGTTTCACCTCACAATATGTACTGAAAAGGCCATCAGCTATAGTAATGTCAACACACATGCATTATTTATTGAAGTGATGAAGTTGGACTGCTTCGGCAGCTTCCACTGGACACAAGTGACCTGACAAACCTGATCAAAATCTCTCCAAAGGAGATTATGAAGAACGTCCCCTGACATAGGCAATGTGCCGTTTCTAGTGTGTCACCACACCTGTAAAGATTATTCTAAAAAAAGATTAATTTATTAAAAAACATTTAAAATTTGAGCTTCAAATTTATAATAGTTGTTTTGGTTCAAGAATATTGAATATTTTCTGTAAATAAATATCGAGGGTCTAAAATTGCAAAAGGGCTCTTTTAACCTGATACAAGCATGACATAAACACATTTGTCATTTGTTGAAACAACAGGACTTTGCTACACTGAACATGGTCTGTAAACAGCAATAATGTTAGTCTCTCGTTTGCACACCATACCAGCAAAAGTCATTCTTCATAACAGTGTTGCCACCGCTGACACTTTTTGTATGTAATGAGGAGGGTAAGATTATCTCAAAAAGTTCCATCAGGTATTTCATATGGCTAAATCAGTCTATTTATTCCATAAAATTGCATTTCACTGGCAGCCCAAGGTCTTGCTGCAGTCTGCATAACAAGCTCGGTTAGTGTGGCACGCATTCGTTCTGGGACTCCAATTACAGAGCATCCGGGAAAACGGCTGGCATTTTTCTGTCTTTGTCTCTTCCGTGTTGACATTCAGTTAGAGTTTATAGGGTGCTGCAATCCCTCGATCTATAATTATTTTTTTTTGTTTTCTCATCCACATTAAATGTAGGAATATAACATCCATCCATTTTCTAAACTGCTCATCGTGTTCAGGGTTGCAGCACACATTAGGTGAAAGATTGGGCAGGGTACTCCCTCGACAGGTCGGCAGTCTATCACAGGGCAAGGAATATTACAGTCTCAGACAATTGAACGCTTTCAAGTATGTACTGTATGTTTTATTACAGGACAAGGCTGAGAGGGAATTCACCACTCGACAATACAACAGACTATCAGCCGGTCTTGATTTTGAGAGTTTTTTAAAACCTCAGACAGGCAAATATTATAAGTTTTCTTGTCTTGTGGTATTGCTTTAGGTTGTGGAGATGAAGGAAGCCCAGCACTTTAATGAATGTATTCTGCAGGAGTTTTAAAACACAGACTGAGTCTCCACCTGTTCTCCACCAGGAATTCTTTGGCATAATTTAGTAAATATTAACTGGATCACTGTACTTCGTTCAGCAGCTCCTGTCTTCTCTCATTGTGGCTCACTAGATGTCTATTCAAAATGTAAATGGTGACGTAGCTTGTAAAATTGAAGTTTTAATGCTAAATTGACCCCAGTTGGGTAATAATGAGAAGCCTCCAATGTACGGGGTGAATGCTTGAATTATTTATGATTTTCCCTACAGTTAGCTTGCCTTCTCGTTATCGGGGCTGGAAATGAGTTTGCTGAAAACTAGCCAAAGTGAGATCTCCCCTCTCGGCTTACAGAACATGGCGCATTAAAGTGAATCACAGCAGACAGCTGGGGCCGCCCTTTATGGTAATGCACCCTCTACAATTACTGCTTCGACCTTCCCTGGTGAAGAAAAATGGGGAGACGTCCATTTAGCGGCCCTTTCAAACACTTAGTGGCAGACATGTTGGGCAGTAGGACCACCTTTTGCCTGACATTGACTCTTGTTTAGAGGAGACACAGAAGACATTAGAAAGGTGACAGGTTGACAGATGAGATGCATCTGTCAAACAGCAAGAGGACCATAGCGCATTAATGCAGCCACACCACCATGTACCACACTGGTAGATGAAGCTGCTTGGGGATAATGGTGCCAACTACAGTGGCTATAATTATTGCTTTCATTATAGATTAATATATCTATTGATTATTATTTAAAGTAAGCAACATTTAGGGAAAATGCTCCAAGATATTCAAGTTTACAATAATATAAAATCAATCGAGTTGAATGGATATTGATAGGTCTGCGTTACAGAAGTCTAGTGTCCGGGGTCGAGTCTAGTCAGTACTACTACCGTGTCTAGTCAGGTCTCCTTGATTAATCGGTAGCGGCCCTAAAAATAATATGACGGTCGACCGCTATGTAAGTATATTGCACAAACCTCTATTACCATCCACTGAAACTTATTTCAACTCCACTGCATCTAATATAAACTGATACAAAACATGCAGGAGAGGGTGGACATACAGCATTATCCTCCAAAGCTTCATGTTAAAACCATTGTTCAGGTCTGATCTCTTCCACACTCCCTTTCTTTGTTTCACGCCCCTGTGGGCCACTAACAATGGCGAAGCTGACACATCCTCTACCGCTAGTTTCACACACGTACAAGATTTGGTCAATGCATAATTGAGGATTCTCCTTTAAAATACGATATTGATGTTGAGGTGTTAGGTGGTTTGAACCACAATGTTGTTTTCCAACGTCTGTTCAAACTTTGTCATGACACATACATGTTACAATAAGAATACATATGAAACAATATGTATCTCTACAGACTATAATTTATTCAGGTGTCAGGTTGGATAACTCCACAGTGACAAACTTGCTTTCATCCAGAGTTTAAAGTATCCACTTAAGTGAAAACCAGAGGAAATCACCACAGCACATGTTTGCACTGGAACATGGTTGGGTGACTGTGTTAAAAGGTGATTATCTGGTGAGGTCTTCATGTTGAGCTAAAAAAAAAAAAAATGGTTGAAAGAGGAGGGGAGGGAGTGATGTGCTCCTAATGGATTTCGGATTTTGTTAAGGCGCTTGTTTCCGTTGCTTTCTATTAAAAAAAGAATACATAAATCCTTTATACCATGGATAGTCCCAAAAGATCCCACAGCACATACACGTATACATATTCTGTTGCCTCCATCAGACAACAATCCTACACCTAACCTGTATGATGTACAAGGCTGGTTGAATACATCACATCTCACAGGACAGGAAGGAGGAGGAAGGAATAAGAAATTTAAAGAAACTCACCCTTTATCCTCAGGCTCTCAGGGATCCCATCCTGTTGGAACAAGAACAAAGAGAAAAAGAAATCACAGTTATAATAAACCACCAGATCATCAGCTTCAACAACATGACACAGAGCTGTTTTCATTTAGCTGAATGAGTGCTCGTACCATAGAAATCGTATTCTATAGGCCACTTAATAAGCAAGTCTTTGCAAATGGCTCAGTGTTCAGTTGAGACCATACGTCAATGTATGCATGTTCAGGTCCAAGGATTTCACTGAGTGACCGCAAGAACTCAAACACAATGTGCCTGTTTGAATTAATGATACACTCATAAATCAGACAATGTGCCATTAATGTTAAGTGGTCATTTTGCCTCACTTTCATTTACAGTGGTAAAACTTTCAACTGGTTACCATAGTCACATCCCTTATGATTTTATCTTGTGCTTTAAGGATATTTTATTTCTTATTGTTTTCCTGTTCTTTAGGGATCTTGTTCATGTTGTGCTGTTTGTTGTTCAGATTTGTTTAATTATCTAATTCTTACTTTGCCTTCTCCTTGAATGAGTAGCTACATATTGCCTTTAGAACCTGTTATCTTTCTTTCTTGCTTTTCAATTTCTAAGAGATTGGATGTCCATATATGTTTTTTCACTGGCGTCACTTGAGCAAATTAGTACTTCAGTTTCCTCATTTACAGCAAACCCAAATATTTCTGGAATGTATTTGACAGAAAAAGACATAGTAGACCCACTCAAAAAAAGAAAAGAAAAAGTGCAGAGACTAAAAAGAGTAGATAACCATGAACCCTTGAGTCGGTGCACGTATAAAATCAGCTGCCTTTAAAGGATGCATGGTGATGATGGTTGTAGAAAATGCTGTTATCAAGACTACTATTCTGAGTAGCTGCTCTCCACAAACCATGAATACGAAAGAAAGGGGCATAAATATTTGATTTCTCTACAGTGAAATCTGCATAGCTCATCCTTCTCGTTCTTGTACAGAAAATTCAGGCTCTCTTTCTACCAGCTCAAGCACTGTGGTGTTATGGAGATGATGCATTATGCAACAGGTCTACAGTCAATAATGAACAGTGTCCCCTGACTGCCTACTGAAAATAGAAGATTACATATTCCTGGGTTTGCACAGAAAATCTGCATACTGCAATTAATAGTATGTGATACGTCTTACGTATTTTACATATATGTGGATAATTCTATCCAAGAGATCTCACTGGTTAAAAAATCATTTTGACTGCAAGAATAACTCAGCTCAAACTACTTTTTTGGTTATTACTTTGCACTATACCAGCTGTGTTCTGTCCGTACACTTGCATGAATAACTGATGTTGCTAATGAGACCCTTACCAGAGGAAAGAAAACCCACATGAGCAATAACATATAGCAATAATAATATTTTAAGTCCTAAGTTGAGACTTCCTATGGCAACCCAGCTGCTGTTAAGTACAACTGTTTTTATGTACTGCGGCTGAAAAGTTATTATATATAATAACAGATACTAAATCATCATGAACATGTGACATTCATGTTACAACTGCCTCAATAACACTTTTTTAGAAAAGCAATATATGCATTTTGGGTAATGCTATAGTTTTATTGATTACTTTCTCAATTATCTTTTTGTAGTATCGCCACATTTGAGAAGATGGAAGAAGCTAATTTTCAGCATTTGTGATTAGATATTTTGACTAAAATGAATACAAACATTACCATTTTCAGAGGCAGGCTTAGGACCAGTCACAACCAATTCATATTTGATGACTTTAAAGCCTGGAAATATTCCCCCTTGTGTAAAGCCTTTATTTACCCAGCTATACAATCAGCATACTCGATTTGTTGTTGAAAACCAGTTGAGATAAAGTTGAGATGACACTGAATCTAACTAACTAAAACTAACTTAAACATCATGATCTGGTAACAAGCTGTCCCTGCATATCATCTTTCTGGATGTTTTACAAAACATTGTTGACTAGCGACCCAGTAGGCCCAAATCACTGAAAACACCTGTGGCTCTCTGACATTCTTCGTATCCTCCCCACCCTCTGGAGGAGGTGACATTTCGAATTGCACTACAGGTAGGGAAGATATCAAATGGGGCTTATTTGCATATGGCAGACAGTGTTCACACTTCATTTGTTTGAAGAGAGTGATTTCCCCAGAGCCGCTGGCAGGCCCATCTCTACTGCTCTGAGACTCTAGGGACAGTGAAGCACCCAGCTGTACAACCTGTGGTTCATCTGCCCCTGTCACAGCTAGCTGGCTGACCGCCCACATCTCTCTCTCTCTCACTCTCTCTCTCTCTCTCTCTGGCTTTATCTCTCAACCCCCATTCCTCAACCTATACCACCCTCCATCTTTTCCTCTCTCTTCTCCTGTTTCAGATCTCACATCCCTCACTCCTCCACACCATAAACTTTTCAAGTACACTTCAACTTGTAAGATGTAATGGCAAATTAAAATAGCTATATGACAAGTGAGTAGAATAGGAGAACGCAATATCAGCAAGGCTGTATTTATCTTTTAGGCCTAGTTCGGATGGTTGATTAACAATAAACTTCCTCTATTCTCTTCAAAGTGACCACTGTTTTGGGGCAGCAGAGGTGCTGATGCAGATGGCTGGGGAAAAATGTTAACTGTCAACTTTAGCTGTGGCCAATGCGGGCTCATCTGGCAACAAACCAAAGACACAGAAGTGCATATACATAGTAGACTAGTTTGTAAAGTAAATACTGTAATCCTACTAGTTAATTCACAATCATTTAAAAAGAAGTTAAATTCTTATTCAGTGATGCATCAGATCATAATTGATGTGTGATCCGTACAGACTGCCCCCCTCAGTTGGGTACTTATGTGAACCGTGGACTAAATTCAACCATCATAACTTGAAAAAGAGTTTTAGTGACACTGTTACTTTTTAAAGAAATAATTACCTAAATCACGATGCAGAGTTGCAGTCAACAAGACAGATGCATGCTGTTTTTTACTCTGAAGTGCAATGATTGGAAGAGTGACAGATTTAAAAGCCTTCTCTTTTCGCTTTCTCCACTGAGTGAAATCCCGTAGGCTGTGACTGTCATTGTATTTTCAGTGGTGTGGAAACGGCATGCTTGTCATTACAGAAACCGATTATAAGATTGTAATGTTTATTCCAACTTCGTAAATATCTGCAGTCTTCCCCCTCGACACCCAGCTCTGTTCATATAAGCAGTTCTGCCCACCTGTGACACAACAGCTTTGAGCGTTGATGGGATATAGGGCGGGACTTTTCTTTTTAACTGATCTGGAAAATGATCTGATCTGTGAATCAACACCACGATACGAGCCAAACCAGACAGAGGTTTCTGATCTGTTGCACCCATAATTTCTAGGCCTGTAAAATCCATCCTCATAGTATTACTGTGCAGTGTTTTGGCATCAACCTGACAACCACTCCTTTTTCTTTGTATGCTGTTTTTGTCCAGCACCTGTTCCCAACTGGAGTTGTCCCTGTAAACCGTCTCCCTTCTTTACCAGAGTCACACCAACCTACATATATTAGGAGTATCAACTAAAATAAGTAACAAGCCAAAGAATAGCAAAGATAAGCATGCAGCAGAACAAACTAACCCAGGTTAACACCAGCATGGACACTGACATCTTATTATTGTTATAGCAGATTGGGTCCATACAGCATCTGCTTCTTCAGCCCCTGTGGAGACTTCACAGAAGCTGGTTACCTCAGCCTCAGGCTGGCTGCCATTTGAAAGTAGACAGCTCATCAAGATGAGTGACAAGGGTTGGGGCTAAAACTGACCGGCCGAGGAGGAGGAGGGTGGAAAAAATACTGACAGTAGTCACATTAAGCCAAACACTGCCCATTGAAGCTTTAACTGAAGCTACCGTAGATCAAATCTGTTACTTGTGAATTTTTACGATTTATTCTTGTTATTTCTCCCATTCCCTGTCTCTTTATCTCAATCTCATTTGCCCACCCCCACCCCTCCTCTCTCTGTCTCTCTCTCCCTCTTATCCCCTGTTAATCTAGATTTGCCATGTGGCCAAGCCAGTGCTGGATGGATGGGGCTTTGCACACAGTTGTCCTTGCCTCCATTTTGTTTGTCCTGACATAACAGCTTGATGTCAGAGCGACAAACTCTCAGAAATTGCTTTTGTCCCTCGTGGCCACTTTTCCACAAATTTATCAAATTACACATTGAGTCTCTCCATCACTCTTACAGTTAAACTCAACGTGAAAAAACTTTGGTGAAATAAGACCTTTTAAAATAAAAATCTATAATATAAGCTTGACCACAGTTAGCTATCACTTTGAGTGGTATCCCTCAGATTACAATCAATTATAATTATGGCTGGATTCTGGTGGCTAGGATATGTGTCCTATACCTGACCCCATGTGGAGGATTTCACAGTGAATTTCTGAAACAATACCAAGGGAATCATGGGTAGAGCATGTGACTAGCTGTTTATGGCCGAGTGCCTCCTGGTGATTGAAGTCTTTGTGAGGAAAGCTTATAAGGTCGTATCCGATCCCGTTACCCTTGTCAAACACTGTCCTTCAAAGCAAAGGAAAAGGCATAGCATTAACAGGGCTTGTGGTGGTGAGCTCAAAGGAGGTTCAATAGATTTCTCTGAATGTGCAAATAAGGAAATTAATGCAATTATGTAATTTAGAAAAAAAAACATTGTTTTTGTACTATCATGTCCCTTTAATTATGAACGTGAATTTAATTAGAATTTTTATTTGAACTTTAATTGCTGTAATTTTGTAACTAGAGACTTTGACTACGATCTATCCATTAAAAGTGCACAAACAAAATTACCGATTTGAGCTGTCAACCATGTTCTGAAACTTGGTATTGCTTTTCCACAATCTGTGGATATCTCATTTTGAAACAACTGTTCTTTAACGCTGCTCACTCAACTATATTGACAAGTGGATGACCTGAGTCTCTCTGCAATCTAACCAACAGCAGAGAAAATTCTCTAAGCAACAAAAAGGCCGTTGACATATTTTGGAGAAGGGCTTGCAATGCGGCCATTTTTCACCAAAGGGCTGTAAATTTCCACAGCCTCTTTTGACAGGCGGATAGATGAGTGGAGTTTACCTCTGTCCTCTCACAGGATGAATTGTAATGGTATGCAGATGCTGTAATGACATTCCTCTGCAGTGTAATCACAGCGCCTGGCACATTAATTTCATTGGAGTGGAAAAGCACATACATCATTTTTGTAGCTTCTTGTCAAATTCCCGCTACATGTGGACATACATTACTTTAATTATTAAAGTCACTCTGGTTCCAAACCAGAGCAATAAAGAGAGAAAAAGTCAAAACCAGCTAGAAGAGAGATAATACACTACAAGACATAACACACTACAAGACATAACACACTGTTCAATACAAAAGGAGGAAAAGCCCTATTTACACCACCTTCAAAATATGCTGTTGGTTGAACTAAAGGTGATTTAAGAAGGTGTGCCTGCTTTATTCAAATGACATGGCATTACAATAAAAAGCACATCGTACACTCTGAGTTCAGTACAACAGAATAATGTAAAAACTGCGATACCTAGGATTGTGTTGGGAGGGAAAAAAGATTATAGCACAACAGGAAAGGTTTCAAGTGAAAAAAAATGAAAATTGCATTGCAAAGTCAACACAAGGAGTGCTACCTTTAACATTTGTGTCTTAGTGTCTATGAAAACTACTTCTGAAATCCTAAAGCTGCTAGTTTTAACAATTAACTTTGAGAATTTAAATGCCAACGTGTTTTTAGCTGCTAATATAATGCAAGGAATGATGCTTTAGTTTAATAGTATGTATAAATATAGCCAAATTAAAGAGGCACACCAAATCATTAAAAATAAACTTTCCAGTGGAAGCTGCTGGAGTCCAGTACAAACTGAGGTGTTTTATATTATATAGCTCAGCAATGAATGATTTAAACAAGCTTCACTTTTCAATTGTCTTTCAAATTTCTAACCAAACATAACACGTAAAAGTACCCTTGTTTTATCAGGGTATACTCCATTCTTCCTAACAGCAGATTTACCAAACTTTCAAATAAAATCCTGGTACCAGGACACTTCTCTGCCTACATAAGTTACACTTGTTGATATAGAAACAATATATGTATCCCTGATATCTCACACCTAAAAGGGAAACACAGACTAAGGAGAGATACAGTTTGTCCTCCAGATTTCAAAGCATCCTCTTTACAAGATGAAACGGTGAAAAACTGAAATCTGAAACACTTCTTTTTTTCTTGCTTCTGCTTAGCCGAGGAAATGTACGACCTGGAGCTGCTGTATTGACAAAACAATGGTGCAATGCTAAACTGTACATAGAGATAAGGTTAAAAAAACAGTGATCTAGTCCTTTAAGAATGAATTCCAACACTGTCCAGGCAGGGCTGGACGTTGGATCTTTTGCTTCTCTCTTCCTTTTGGTATAAAGCATCGCAGCCTGGAAGAAGTGCTATCTCTGCAGTTGACTGAGATTATATTGCAGGATTTTTGGCTATTGAAGTTTAAATCTCTTTACTTCCTTAACACACACACAATTTCCAGGGTAGCTGTGGCTAGAGAGAAGCTCTTGAATAGCTGATATCTGCAGTCCACGTGTTTTGAAAGCAACTCTGTGAATAATTTGTGTTCAAAAGGTCAAAATGTGTTTGACCATTGTGTCGATTGAACAGCTTTGCATCGCTCCCGGCTCCTCACTCAACTCTGATACAGTCCAATGACATTCCTACCATCTGTTCCCTCTGTCTCCCTCTCCATCTCCTTCTCTTTCTAACCACCTCTCACCCCAGCCACCTTTTAGTCCCACTGTGTTTGCCTTTAATTCCAACGCAGACATGACTAAAGCTGACTGAAATAAATCTTAAACACACTATTTAGTCTGAAGATGACAGATTTCCTTGTGGTTTTTCCTTCATTGCCACTACTAATTTTTTTCTTGGATAGGATGAGGAGGAGAAGTGTTTCTGAAACGTGTACTGAAGAACCACAATCCAACTAATGCCTCTTGACAAAACACTTTGCTTTCCTCAAGTCCCCATCAGACAAAACAGTCAATTTCCTTCCCAGTCTGGCTCTAATTGATCCATATCTGCTACTCTGGTGGTTTGAAAACAAATAAGAGAAAAACCTCTCCAGTATCCTACTAGTTTAGAGGGAAAAATGTAACTTATTCCTTTAGATGGAACAAGAGTGAAAAGAGTTTGCTTGTGAGGGCCTGCTCTGTATCGCTGGGTCAGTGAGCATTAAATTACATCTTTTACTTTAATCGTTAAGCTAAAATGACATGTGAACATCCTCACTTCATTCAGAGCTCATCTTTGCTCAGCTGTGCCTCATATTAGTCTGATGTTGTCTTTGAAAAGACAGTCCCCTGGCACAGAGGGAGGGATAATGATTCATTAAATATTTTTTCAGTAGGCATAAAAACAACAACCACAGGAGAGCCATCTGATTCAGGAAGAAAGCGCCACTGTAATTAGTTTCATACTTGGCAAAAGTCCCTTTTCTTACAGACAGCAAATTAAAAAAGTCTGCAATCAATACCTTGTGTCGGAATCTCACGACTGGTCGATAGGGCGGCGACCTGAATCCCTCCTTGTTGGGTCTCCCGTTGGCGCCGAGCGCAACGAGCCCCAACAATAAGATTGCCGCGGACCACCATCTGGCTGTCTTCATTGGTCTTTTCCTGTCAAAAACCAAACAAGAATGGTGAGTGCTCTTCTCTAACACACTGGAGGTTCAATACCGGGATGGCCAAGACAATACATCAAGTCCGCCATAATTAGTGTAGACAATGAGAACCGCAAAACTGTCGCTGGTTTAAACTAAAGCTATCAATACATGCCTAACACTCGGCGAAGAGATTAGATCTCCTTTTGAATCAATTAAGGGGAAATAGACGTCATGAGAAAATCAAGATAAAGAAGACAAAGAACCAATATATTAAGGCAATTAAAGTGAGGGCTTTGGATTAATTAGGCTGAGTGTCTAAGTCAAGCAACTCTGATGTAGCGGAGAGATTACATCTTAAACAGTTTCCTCACACCCTCACAGAGCAGCCCAAATATATTTATTTAACGGAGTGAGACCATCCACTTTTCACCTCCAATATAACAGCATTTTCAATAATTCATTGCGCTGTATAAAAACGAGTTTGACCTTTGCATGACATGAATTAAACAAAACAGCGTTTGTGGGGAAAAACAAGCCCTGCGAAAAAATGTCTGTTTACCAGAAACAGCAATGTTCAAGGAAGTCAAAACACAGGAAATACAGAGAGAAGATGATACATGTGAGCCAGTGCTCTCATATTGCCTATCACAAGGTTTAACACACAGAGAAATACACAAACACATGCACGCACACAAGCTTTATGTTGAAATCTGCAATGTGCTAGCTTCTTATTTTTATCCCCCGTCTTTATCTGTATTTATGCCCTCAGTTCTTTGTGCAGCACGTCGCAAAAATCCCCTTTGTTAGAAGCGCTTCATAAATGAATTTGACTCGACTTGACTTGTTGATTTTCACAGGCAAACACTGAGCTGTACTTTCTAAGCCGTCTCAAGCCACCAGTGCCTGCTCATCATCCTCCAGCGGAGGGAGATGACTGACAGCAGGATGGTGACCCTGCTTCCTTGTTCTTCGGGAGTGACACTGAGTCAGACAACAAAGGCACTATTGTGGCAGCTCTGCGGGCCCACATGCTATTCACTGGAGGTCAGGAGGTCGTGCCAGCAGAGCGGCATGTCACTGTGATATCCCGGACGAAGAGGGAACATTAAAACTTTATTGTTGTGACTTTATGTGACTTTTAATACCTTGCTGAGCTGCCTGACACCTGCAGATTTTCACTTTCTGCTTTCCATCTCTTCATGTTAAGTCAACTTTTGTTTTTGAACAGATATAAAGAACTTTGTCTGTGCACTGTATGTGAATCTTACTGATGAAACTTTCAATTAGAAGAACAAATATCAAGAGCTGGGGTACGTATACAATTGTCTGCCAGATTCAACACTCAATTTCTGTGACTTTTCTTTAACCTTTAGAGACACTGTCTTTGTTCTTTGTCAAACTCTGAGACAACTTTGATAGAATCTCTTCCTGCACAAATCACACCCACCATCAGTCCACCTACCAACCCATCCAACTCGTCCCATTGAGTTTCCAAACACGTTTAAATCAAAAGAACTAAATAAAACAAATCAGCTAATTAGAGCAGATATTCAAGTGGTATGTTATATGCAACATACTAGCATAATGCTGCTGCTTTAAAGGACCAGTGTGTATGATTTAGTGGCATCTAGCAGTGTAATAGCTAATTACAAAGCCCTCGGCTCACCCTGTTGTTCAAGGATGTAAAATAAATTTAGTGTTTAGTTTCCATTCTGGGCTCCTGTAGAAACGCTGCAGTTCAACAAGACAAACTCTGTAAAAGATAAAAGCCACTCATTCTAAGGAAACTAAAACTCTTATTAACTAACTTATTTTCAGGTGATTATACACTAAAGAAAACATTCATCCTAAATGTTACCCAGTGGACCTTTAAGCTTTTATGTTTTTTGACATATTTTCCTTCAGAACAAAGCTTTTAGCTTTTGCAGATGAAATATCTCATCATGCCAGTCCCTCACTCCAGTCTCTGTCAGTGTAGTAGGTAGGGGGCATTGATAATCCAGCATGCAGGGAGTTTTTATTCCAAAGTATGAAAGAGAAAAATCTAAAGACTTCTCAACCTGGAAAAGTAATTGTTAAGCTGCTGGTAATGATCAACAGCCTCCCTAACCCCCTGCAGACATATTATGGTCCTTTTGTGCTATGGGGCACTAAAAATCTTACTTATTGCCTCTTTAATGTGATCATATTCATTCTCTATGCATTCCTAAACTCTCCAGATCCAGGTAGGAACCCTGCCTGCAGCTGCTGCTGCTCCACTTCTCTGCTAACACAGTCTTTTAGCCACACTAGGTGGATTACCATATCTGCTAGCACAATCAATCAACTTCTTTGCGGCGTCCCAGTGTTAAATGGGTTATTAATGGACTAACTTTTGCAGGATGCTCTGTCAGACAGAGACATATGCACAGTTTTAAGAAGTTTAACTGCGTCATACAGCACAGTTCCTCGCAGACATTTAACTCATTATGATCAGTCACAACTGCAACACGTACAAATAACTTTCAAGTTCTACTTCTCCTGAATCATTAGTAATCTTACTGGGAGCTCTGAACAGTTAATAAAGTGCCAACTATGCTGTTCTGTATTTTTTTAAAGAGTCCCTAAGAAAGCATGTGGATTGAACAATGCATATTTAAATTGCTCCTGTTCCACACCAGACTGCACAAAGAATTTTGAGTTCTGAGGTTATATGGCCATTGGTGAGTTAATTTTCTTGTCAGTGAGTATCTTGCTCAAGGACACTTCAATAAGCAGTGTGAGGAGCTGGAGATCGAACCACCAACCGTCTGATGGACATCCCGCTCTACCTCCTGAACCCCAGTACATGATGTTCCTGAATTTAACTGAGATCAACTCCCTGTGAGTCATTTGCACATACAAGTCCTTGTATGTGTTAGAGTTAATACTACAAGTCTTATTTATTTGTCTTTAAAGCACAAGAGACAGAAACAGTCTGGAAGTTTTGCCTGGCCCTCCCCCCCAAGGGAGTGCCATCATAACTTTGGCTCACGGTTTTAAATTCCCCAGAGCACGTCTAAGCTTTGGCATTGACTTTCAAATGAAGACTACCTATTTCCCCACTATGTACACAATGCATCATGTTTTGACAAGCTCACAGCTGCTCTCCTCTAACCCTCCCATCCGTCTAATTCAGCAAATTTTTGCCGTTCAATGCACTGGGCAAGCATAACAACAGAAAATGTCCATACAGCCCTATACAGATACTATGTGTATGTATATGTATCACCTGACGGCAACATACTGGGGATTAGCTGGGTTTGAATAAATGCACACACTGTTATTTACTATCAGCTGTCACACATGTTTGGTAAGTCATAAGTCTGGAAATTAGGAATACATAATTAAACATGCCATACATTTTTCTGACAGTATGCACGATCTTCCCCTAAAAGGCCTTAATTCAGGAACGCTCTACTCACACGACTATTCGTCAGCTTAGACTAATTCTGACTTATTGCTGATAACTCTTCAATTTACAGCTTTCTAATTACAGTCAGCCTGTCTCAGATGTAATTAAACAAAGCCCATGAGAAATCAGGAATTCTGAATACGGCTGATGGACCACTGGGAACACTGAGTTTCCTCTATTTTTCCAGTATAGAGTACAGTTCATGTTTTTAAGACAAAACAGAGAGCATATAGTTTCAACAATCAGAACAACATATGGCACAAGTTAAGATATTTTAGCCTTTTGTACAAGGGCACCAAACCCTCTAGAAGAGTGTACAAAATATTTTAGTAACAACCACCACAGCAAATGACGCTTCCCTCAAGCATCTGTTTTGCAGTGCTATCTCACATATCTTCTACAAAGTCTCTCATAACAACTAAAGATGTTTGCTTATTTCTCAACAAACTGAAAAAACAGACCAGAATAAAAAGTGTAATTTTATTTAAAAAAAGAACCAATATCATGAAATTCTGTAGGTGTCAGGAATAGTTACAGGTTTAAAACTCAAAACTAGCAAGTCTAAGTTCTACTGGTGGACTTAAACTAGTCACAACCAGTCCTTTGACTCATTTTCAGATCCCTGAAGAGGTCAACGTAGTCAGTAATTTACAAGAAAAAACAAAGATTAGATGAATGTCAAAAATATTCTTTCTACTTTCCTCTCCTGTTAATCATCTTGCCAACCCTCAGACGGTGTGACCCCTGGTCAGGTTCTGACCTTCAGGTAGGAAACCACCATCCTGAACTGACTGGTAGCTTTGGCCACTCATAGTATGCTGTTTAGTATAGTATGCAGTATTACATGATTTATGACCATTTAAGTTAAAATATTTGATCTCTTTCTTACGATTATTGAAAAGCTGAAAACATGCAAGGCGGCCTTGTTCTAGCACCTTTCAACTCCCTTAAGTTCCTGATGAGTTGTACCCAAATAGAGAGAACTGTGGTTGTACGGCATCGTTCCCAAGAGTGTGTGGGGTAAACATCTATGAGTGAGGAACAGAGTATGGCTGCACGATATGGTAAAATAAAAATTATATGGCAATTATTTTGACAGATACTGGGACTGTGAGATTATTCACAATTAGTGGGAATGACCATTTTTGCAACACAATTTAAATGTTCACTGTGAAAAAGAAAACATTTGCTGGGTACCAAACAAACATGATTCTCTGCAGCACTACAGCACTTCATTATAATGCTCTTTTATCACACATTTTACCTTTTTTTAAAATGTGCAGCTTCTTGCAATTTAGATATTGTGAACAGGGCAACATGCATGCAACTGACCATGGCCAAACACATGCTGAAACACACTCAGTGTGAGGGCTGACACCTCCTCAAGGTCACTGTGCTGTCTGAAATACTCAAATTACATGTGAGTGAACCAGACCTTCTTTCAGCACAAAATAAAACAATTTTGCCAAGCTTGCCAAGTTGATCATTCTTAAAATGTAACTACTGGAACTAATCAATATGTTGAACCTACATATTTTAGCTTTTCATTCAGTACCTTTAAAACACAGGCCACCCATTTT